TTCACCTGATTAGTTTTAGTTCTTTGCTTTTTGGTTTTTGGGTTTTTTGGTTTTTTTTTTTTTTTTTTTTTGGTACTGGGAATTGAACTTGGGTCCTTGTGCTTGCAAGGCAGGCCACCGAACCGCTGAGCTAAATCCCCGGCCCTAGTTTTAGTTCTTTGAGGAATCTCCACACTGATTTCCACAGTGGTTGCACCAGTCTGTACTCCCACCAACAGTGGAGAAGGGTTCCTTTTTCCCCACAGCCCCGCCAGCATTTGTTGATTGACTTCTTGATATCAGCCATTCTTTCTGGAGTGAGATGTAACCTCAGTATTGTTTTAATTTAACTTAATCTCAGCAGAAGTTTGTGCATCACTCAAATGACCAGTGATATTGAACATTTTTTCATATATTTATTTGCCATTTCTACTTTATCTGAGAAGTGTCTATTCATGGCAGATGCCCATTTTTGGATTGGGTCTTTAAATGTTGAGGTTTGATTGTTTTGAGTTCTTTGTATCATATATTCTAGATATTAGTCCTTTGTCTGAGGAACAGCTGGCAATAACTTTTCCCCACACTGCATTGTCTCTTCATTGAAGTTTTTCTTTTTCCTCTCCCTGTGGGCTTCATTTCTCACTGCATCTGCAGGTTTGAGCTGCCCTTCCCACACCATGAGCTGGAGCTCAGAGAGAAAGCACCACTTGCCACCTCCCTCTTCTGCATTAAGGTCTCTGTCTTTGCTCTCCCCATGGGCTTCAATTCTCACTTTAGATCCTTGCTGGTGCTGAGGACCCAGTTCCCTCCTTCTCTTCCTCACATTGCTGTATTCCGGCATGTGGACACCAAATCTCAGAGAGGCTGTTTTTCTGCTGTTCACCATTCTGCTATCTCTCTGGAAGTCTCCATCTTAAATTTTTTTTTGGTACCAGGGATTGAACTCTGGTCCTTGCACTTGCAAGGCAGGTGGTGGAACCATGGAGCTAAATCCCCGGCCCTCCATCTTAAATTTTTGAGACAAGTTTTCCCTAGATTGCCCAGGACAGCCTTGAGCTTGCCATCTTACCCATGGCTTTGAATTTGCAGTCCTCCTGCCTCAGCCCACTGGTTAGCTGGAATTACAAGTGTGTGTCACCATGCCCATTTATACTTTGCCTTTCTTTTCTCTTTTTATTAAGTTTATTGGTACAATCTAGGTATACAATAGTTACATTCATTACTGGGATCCTGTACCTTCACATGACAGGTCTTGGTTCTCATTTTTTCCCCTTGTCCCTGCCCTCACTTCACCCCCTCCCCCCTCCCTATTTACAAACACTTGATTTCCATTTTTTCATTTTCTAATATTTTTTTCTTTTCACTTGTTCCCCTTCCCCTACCCTTCCCACTTCCCCCTACACCTTTAGCCCTTTTCTTCCTATTTCACATTATTAATTATCCCATTAGGATCTTGTGTACTATTATAGTTTTTCACACCAGAGAAACTATTCAGTATTTACACATGTGTGACTTATTTATTTCACTTAAGAGTATATCCTCATTATGTATCCATTTTCCTATGAATGACTCTAATTTCTTATTCTTCATGGCTGAGTAGTATTCCATTTTATAGAAAAAAACACATCTTTATCCAGTTTCCAGCAGATGGGCAAATGGGCTGTTTCCAACTTTTAACTATTACAAACTGTGCCAGTATAAACATTGGTACACATATATCACTGTGATATGTTTCTTTTAATTCTTTTGGAAAGATACCCAGCAGAGGGATGGCTGGGTCAAATGGAACCTCTAGAGCCAGCTCTTTGAGGTATCTCCATGTTGATTTCCATAGTGGTTGCACCAGTCTGCACTCCCACCAACAGTGGAGAAGGGTTCCTTTCTCCCCACAACCCGGCCAACATTTGTTATTGTGTGATTTCTTGATAGCAGCCATTCTTTGTGGGGTGAGGTGCAATCTCAGTGTTGTTTTCATCTGCATCTCTCGAATGACCAGTGATGTGGAACATTTTTTCATATATTTACTTGCTGCTTTTACTTCTTTGTCTGTTCATTTCAGATGTCCACTTTTGAATTGGGTCTTCATATTTGAGGGGGCTGATTGTTTTGAGTTCTTTATATATTCTAGATAATAGTCCTTTTTCTGAGGAGCAGCTGGTAAAAATTTTTTCCGACATTGTAGGTGGTCTCTTAGTTCTGTTGATGGTTTCTTTTTCAGTGCAGAAGCTTTTTAATAAGATGAGATCCCAGTTGTTGATTCTTTCTGCTAGTTCCCATGCTACTGAGGATTTGTTCATAAAGTCTTCCTATGCCAATGTCTTCAAGAGTTCTACCTAATTTATCTTCCAGCAAGGTCAGTGTTTCTGTTTTAATATTTAGATCTTTAATCCATTTTTATTTTAATTTAGTGCATGGTGAAAGATAAGGGTCTAGTTTTAATCTTTGGCAGGTTGAGATCCAGTTTTTCCAACACCATTTATTAAAGAGGCTATCTTTCCTCCAGTGGGGATGGTCAGCTCCTTTGTCAAAGATGAGGTAGCTCAGTGCATCTGGAGTTGTTTTTGTGTCTTCCAGTTTGTTCCACTAATCCTCAGGTCTGTTTCTTTGCCAGTACCATGCTGTTTTTATCACAGTGGCTTTGTAGTATAGTTTCAGATTGGGAATTGTTATACCTGCTGTCATGTGTCTGTTGCCTAGGATGGCTTTTGCTATTCTAGGTCTCTTATGGTTCCAAATGAATTTTTGGATTCTTCTTTCTAGTTCTGTGAAATATAGTGTTGGAATTTCAGTTGGCATTGCATTGAATGTGTATAGCAGTTTTGGTAGTATGGCCATTTTCTCTATGTTGATTCTTCCTACCCAGGAACAAGGGTATCTTTCCATTTTCTTATATCCTCTTTGATCTCTTTTTTCAGGGTGCTGTAGTTTTCAGTGTAGAGGTCCTTTGCTTCTTTTGTTAGATTGATTTCCAGATACTTCATTTTTTGGGGGTACTATTGTGAAAGGAATTGTTTCCCTAATTTCTCAGTCTGTTATTTGTGTACAAGAAGGCTATTGATTTTTGGGTGTTGACCTTGTATCCTGCTACTCTGCTAAAAGTGTCAATTAAGTCTAGACGTCTTTTGGTGGAGTGTTTTGGGTGTTCAATGTAGAGTATCATATCATCAGCAAATAATGACAGTTTAACATCTTCCTTTCCTATCTTTATTGCTTTAATTTCTTTTTCTTGTCTAATTGCTATGGCTAATATTTCTAGAACTATATCGAAAAGGAGTGGTGATAGTGAGCATCCTTGTCTTATTCCTGATTTTAACATGAAAGTTTTTAGTTTTTGGCCATTTAATATGATGTTGGCTGTTGGTTTTTTGTACATAGCCTTTATTAAGTTGAGATATAGACCATCTATTCCAATTTTTTTGCAGGGTTTTTATCATGAATGGGTGTTGAATTTTGTCAATTGCTTTTTCTGCATCTATTGAGAGGATCATGTGGTTTTTGTCCTTGACTTTGTTAATATAATGTATTACATTTATTGATTTACGCATGTTGAACCATCCTTGCATCCCTGGAATAAATCCGACTTGGTCAGGATGTATGATCTTCTTGATGATCCTCTGTATTCTGTTTGCTAGTATCTTATTAAGGATTTTTGCATCTATATTCATTAAGGAGATTGGCCTGTAGTTCTGTTTTGTAGTTGTATCTTTCCCTGGTTTGGGAATCAAAGTGATACTTGCTTCCAGGAATGAGTTTGGAAGTATTGCTTCCCTTTCAATTTCATTGAAAAGTCTGAAGAGTAATGGCAGTAGTTCTTCTCTAAATGTCATGTAAAATTCAGCAGTGAATCCATCAGGACCTGGGCTTTTCTTTGTTGGTAAGTTTTTAATTACATTTTCAATTTCACTGATTGTAATTGGGGTGTTTAAAATGTTTTTATCTTCTTCGTTCAACTTTGGTAATTCATAAGTATCTAGAAATCTGTCCATTTCTTCTGTGTTTTCCATTTTATTAGAGTACAGGTTCTCAAAGTAGGTATTAAAGATCCTCTGGATTTCTTTGGGATCTGTTGTGACTTCTCCTTTTTCATTCCTGATTGCATGGATCTGAGCCTGTTCTTTTCTTTCTTTGTTAAGGTTTGCTAAGGGTTTATCTATTTTGTTTATTCTTTCAAAAAACCAACTCTTTGATTTATTTATTTTTTTGTATTGTTTTCTTAGTTTTCATTGCATTGATTTCTGCTCTAATCTTTAAAATTTCCTCTCTTGTATGAGCTTTGGGTTTTTCTTGCTCTTGTTTTTCTAGGAGTCTAAGATTCATCATTAGGTTATTTATTTGAGCTTGCTCTGTTTTCCTAATGTGGGCATTCAGTGCTATGAATTTTCCACGTAGAACTGCTTCCATTTTGTCCCATAGATTCCTGTAGGTTGTATTGGCATTTTCATTCATTTGTAAAAACTGTCTGATTTATTCTTTAATTTTATATATACCTTGCTTTTTAAAATCATAAATATCCCTAAAACCTACCTTTCGGAAGGCATTCACGCTTGGTTGCCTCAGTGAATAAACTTGGCCTATTGCAAAACATATATCAGTGACTGGCATACTGCACAGTGGGCAAAAAGAGCCTGGGTTGGTTACTAATTCATACAGCAAAGGAGTACTTTTCCTGGGAGCTTGTGGAGTAAACCCAGCCATTTCTTGCCAGCTTTGGAATTGAAGCCTCTACTGGTGCAGCTGCCACTTTGAAGTGGACTTTGGGGGAAAGCAATTGAGATTAGTCCATGATCCTATCTTATAAGGCACAGCCGCTGAAAGGGTGTACCTTAGTTGAGGAGGGGGCCTGGAAGGCAGAAGTTTGTGCTATAATTAGCAATAGGAGTAACAAGCTGGGGGAGGGAGATTGAATACAGCCTGCAACTATTTTGAGCAGATTGATGGGACATGTGTGCTGGACTGTAATTATTCCATGGCCAAGTTGCTTGCCTGTGGTGTATGGGGGGGGTGCTGGGGCAGCAGGAGCAGGACAGCCGGACAGGCAGGCAGGCCGGACGGGGTACCAGCACCTCAACTTCTCTCTCTGGGACACTGTCCAAGCTTCAGGGGCCATAGGCCAAGCGGAGCAATGGGTGCTGAGGAGGAAGTCCTGGTCACATTATCAGGGGGAGCCCCCTGGGGCTTCCGACTTCAGGGGGGGGCCGAACAGAGGAAACCCTTACAGGTGTCCAAGGTAAGGGAGAGCCCCTGAAATGAAGTTTCAGGGAAAGGGGAACCCAAGGGAACCTGGGAAGAATCATGTGGTTGCCTAATTGGGGAGGGGGATAGTGGGGGGCTGTGAGGAAGACGTGCTGGGGAGGGGGACAGGTGGGCAGGGAAGCATGCTCAAGTCTGGTGGAGGGAGGAATATCTGACCACAGGCTTCTTTGGAGGGCTATTAGAAAAGGGAATTCCTGGCTTCCAAGGAGCAGAGAAAAAGGGAGCTTCAGGTTCCCGCAGCAACATGGTTGCAAAGTCTGGTGTCTGGGCACCTAGGGTTTGCTCTCCTGTGTGTGTACCTCTGCTCCCAACTCCAAGAATGTAGGGAAGGTTCTCATTTCTCTCACTAAACTGGTATGTGACAAGCTGAAGCTGTCTCACCCAGCCCTGCCCTACCCTGCCCTGCCGGGCCCTGCCCTGCCCATTGCCTTCAGTGCTCCTCTTTCCCTAAATCAGGTCCTCATTAGGCCAGACTTTTTTTAGTGCTAGGAGGGATATGGCAAGATCTGGCCTCAGATAGAGTCATTACCCTTTTGGTTTCACTCTACGGACTTAGTTTTCTGAACTGTAAAGTGTGAGTAATAATGGTACCTACTTCATAGAACCATTTTAAGAAACGCACTTAGTAAGAACTCGATCCGTGGCAGCCATGTGTGCACACGCATGCATCCATGCTGACCTCACAGTCTCCCAGAATCTGGCTGGACTGCCTTGATCTGGAATACTATTCTAAAATCTTCACTTGCAATAGCATCTGAGATTCCATGGCCTAGAAAGGAAATATCGTCCTTGAAGGAAAATGTTGCCTTTCTAGTACCTCCTCCATGCAGTTTCCTCCAATCCCCCGCCACTCAGTGGTTGCCATACCTCCCAAGATAGGTGTATTACTCCCACTAATCTTCACCTTCTCCCTGGACTGGCCCCCTCAGCTGCAGCCCCAGGTACCCCCACTCTTCTCATCCTACTGGATACTTCCTGTCATTTCGTTTTCATTCTATTCCCATTGGAGTCCTCCATCACCTACAATCTCTCCTCTAACATCTCAGATCCGAAGAAGGAGCCAGGCTGGCAGAGCAGGACTCCGAGAGAGGGACCAGCTCTTGGCGATCAATGGGGTTTCTTGTACCAGCCTCTCTCATGCCAGTGCCATGAGCCTCATCGATGCCTCAGGGAATCAGCTTGTCCTCACTGTGAGGCGGTATGGACCCCCCTCTTCTTTTACCATAGTCCAGGTTTCGTAGGGCTGCCTTTTGCCTGCCTCAGCTCTAGATCTCACTGGTCTGGCTTCAGCAACTAACAAGTACCTGTTTCTGCTTGTGTATTTTTGCTGGGCTATAGATGTTTGCATATGTCTCCCAAAAGGTCTGAACATGTATGGAATTAAAGGTTGGGGTGTCAAGTGGATATGTCACCAATGGGTCTCATTCAACCTCTGGCTTATCTCCTCATTGCATCTTCCTTATAGCCTTCCAAGTACATTGGAAGATGATTCACTCTAACCATATGCCTACCCCAGATTTCTCCTTTATCTCCTTCCCCAGCCTCTCCAATTCTCTAGCTGTTGGTCACATGCCCATCTCTCAAGTTTTGTCATCTTTCCCATCCAGGGCAGCAGATGAAGGGCCCATCAGATCTCCATCCCCTGGGGAACTTCAGGCACTGTCACCCTTATCTCCACTGAGTCCTGAGCCTCCTGGTGCTCCAGTATCCCAGCCCCTTCAGCCTGGGAGCCTTCGATCACCCCCTGACAGCGAAGCTTACTATGGAGAGACAGACAGTGATGTGGATGGCTCTGCCACTCAGGAGAAGCCCCGTCGCCCCCGCCGCCGAGGCCCCACAAGGCCCACACCTCCAGGAGCCCCACCAGATGAGGTCTACCTGTCTGACAGCCCTGCAGAGCCAGTACCTGCCATCCCTGGGCCTCCCAGCCAGGCTGACAGCCGTGTGAGCTCCCCATCTTGGGAGGAAGGGGCGGCCCTTCATCCACCCCCAGCCGAAGCACTGCTGTTACCCCATGGTCCACTCCGGCCCGGCCCTCATCTTATCCCTATGGTGGGACCTGTTCCCCACCCAGTGGCAGAAGATCTTACTACTACCTACACCCAGAAGGCCAAGCAAGCCAGTGAGTCCTAAATGCTTTTTTTTTTCCCCCTAGCCAGGATCTGAGCCCTAAATCTATGCTTTCATATCTATAATTTCTACCTACTTGATGTCTCTTGGATAGAGTCTTTGGGACAAGTGAGAGCAGACAAGCCGGGCGTGGTGGCGCACGCCTGTAATCCCAGCCCTTGGGAGGCTGAGGCAGAAGGATCTCTGTGAGTTCGAGACCAGCCTGAACTACATAGTGAGTTCCAGGTCAGTCTCAACTACATAGTGAGACCCTGTCTGAAAAACCAAACAACAACAAAAAAAGAGAGAACAGACAGAAGTGGAGGAGTTAAAAATTACTCTCATGGTCTCCATTATTTTTGCTGTTTGAACCAGTATAGCAGAAAGATACAAGTGGTTCAACCCAACCCAAGAACAGAGTAAGTGGGGAAGTTGGACAAAGACATGAATAGATGAAGAGTTTGGTGGTGTTTGCTGTTGTTGTTTTAGCTGACAGGATAGGGTGAAGGCAGAAGACAGACACAGGGCATGGGAGTATTTGGAAACAGGACAAGGGTTTAGGAACTCTTTGCAGTGTTGACTGCAGGCAGAGTTTCAGAGCTACTGATGTGTAAGTTTGGTTGGGATTCCTGGGGACTGGGAATCTATGGGGCGATCATGAGGTCTCTAGAAAGTGGCGGAGAGAAGGATCTTTGGCTGCTTATCTCAGGCAAGAATGTGGGCCTGGGCAGAAAAAGCCAGTTCCACTTATCTCAGGCTCTTTGCTATTTTTGATGTGAGCTATATAACCAGAGCTAAGAAAGAAGTGTTTCCCTGTCCTGGTTCTCCCAAGCCCCTCTCACAAAGACCTTTTGTCACCTCTGAAATCTCAGGATTCCCCCTCTAGTTCTCATCTTTCTCCACCCCCCATCATTCTGATAATCCATATAGTTTCATGTCTCTAAATTTGAATAGCGGTTAAGGACGTGAAAGTTTAGTTTAGTTTAGTTTTGTTTTGTTTTTTGGCTTTTTGAGACAGGGTCTCACTGTGTAGTTGAGACTGACCTGGAATTTACTATGTAGCCCAGGCTGGTCTCCAACTCACAGCAGTCCTCCTGCCTCAGCCTCCCAAATGCTGGCATTACAGGCGTGCGCCAACACGCCCAGCTAGGGACATGAAAGTTTAGAGTCTGACATCTCTGAGTGTGTCCAGCATCCCACAAACTCAGATACATACCCAGGATCCCGTACTTATCCCCAGTTCTCATTTCTTATCCCCTCCTCTCCTTTCCCACCATGATGGGTGAGACTGTGGTTAATGGCTCAAGGATATTTTTAGCCAAAGTAGACCTCATTGTACAGTGGGGCAAGGTGGGGGGAAGGGGAGGCAGGTGCCCACGTCCGTCACACCAGGACTTGTGGAGCAGCCGAGAGAAAGGAGGGGGCCAGGCTCTAAAAATAGCCCAGTGAGCTCATTCAGCTGCCATCTCTGGGGACAAGACAAAGGGGCTTTAAAAGGCGTGGGGGTGGCTGAAGCTGGTCCTGCTCCAGCCAGCACTGCCTTTCTCAGCATGGAGGCCTTTGAGCCCATCAGCCAAGAGCCCCTCAGTCAAGCCAGCTGTGACAAAGCCCCAGACCCAGATCCTGAACTCCAAGACCCATTCTATGCAGGTACTACCTTCCCACATTGAAGAGAGTTTTGGGGTGTAGAATGGAAAGGTTTGGAGTGGAGGGTGATACGGCAACAACTGAGGAAGGGTGAACTCTGGGGAACATTGTGTTCTCCTGTCCTCTTCTTTTTGCTGTCCTCTTCCTCCTTCTCTCAGGAGAGCATCACTGACCCTTTCTCAGAATGGTTTGGTGCTATGGCCACATGACAAAGGGATTTGTGACCACATGAGATGTAGAAACCTCATAGAAAGAGTGTGTGTAAGAGAGAGAGAGGTGGGTGTACATTATCAATTCATGAATGCAGGCATGTGCAAGTCTGTGGGAGGAGATATGTGTGAATAAGAATGGTCTGCATATGCGTATATCAAGGGTCAAAAAAGCTTTGAGAGTAATAGTTGCTCACGGTAGGCCTTAGTACTGTGTTAAGTGCTAAATTTACTTATATTAGCTCACTTATTCCTCATAGCAACCCTGTGAGGTTGCTGTTACCATCTTCACTTACAGATGAGGAAACTGAACTTCAATGAGGTGAAGTAACTCTCCCAACAACAAAAGCCCGAACTGAACTCTGACTCCTGTGCCTATTCTGTCTTCTACAGTACTATTCTATGTTATGGGAGCTGGGATGAGAGGAATGAGAGCCTTAAATAGAAAGGAGTTTGGTATCTCAAGTGGAAAGTAGATGGAATTTCAAGAATTTTTCAGGAGGAACTGGGGACCGTGGACCAGAGATTACCCATGTCTAAGGCCGGGTGTTAGCCGCAGCGCAGCCTCTCCCATTTCCTGTCTCCACCTCTCCAGGCCTTACATGGCATGGGAAGCCCTGCCTTGGTTCTCTTTAGCACATAGCTCTTGCACGCTTATCTGGTGGTAGACGCCTTATCTCTCTACCTAAAAGGCTTGTGCTGACCCCCAAAGAAATCTATTCTCATCTTGGGGGAAAGGAGACTACATTTACCTGGCGACCTCGAGGTATCCTGGAAATTGGGAGGATGACCTTGGAGAGCAGCACCCTGACTTTTCCCAAATCTTGGATTTGAGATTAACTCTGGCTGTAACAGGTATGAAGCATTGTTAGCAGTTAGAAGACCAAAAGCAACTCTAAAATCTGACCAAACTGATAGTAACGGTGTCCCTATGGGGCAAATCTGGGGGGAAAAGAAGCCATCTGGAGCATGTGTGTGTATATACATGTGAATGACGCAATTTTCAGGTATGCACGTATACATTTAGGTCTCTGTGTGTGAACTACAGTGTATGTGAGTTGAAATATACATTAATTAATTAATTAATTGGGGTTTTGGGGAAACAATGTCTTGCTATGTAGTTCAGGCTGGCCTTGAACTCACTATGTAGTCCATGCTGGCTCAAACTTCCAAGTGCTGGGATTATAGGTGTGCGCCACCAGGTTCAACTGGGATAGACATTACTGAGAAAAATACATTGGAGAAAGTACTAGCTTTCAGTAGCAGACAGATATTCCTGTTGGAGTGATATGTGATAGAAGTTATTGCTGTGAGTGCTTCTGATGAGGACCACATCATGAGGGTGGGGCTGTGAATGAACATCCTCATTGTTAAGAATCCTGAGGCCACTGCCTGCCTTGCAAGCACAAGGACCCAAGTTCGATCCCCAGTACCAAAAAAAGAAAAAGCAAAGGGCCGGGCATTTAGCTCAGTGGTGTCACCGCCTGCCTGGCAAGCACAAAGTCTCAAGTTCAATTCCCAGGACTGAAAAAAAGAATCCTGTGTGTCTTGATCATAGGGGTATCCCAAACGTTGTAAAAAGCCTCTGACCAGGGTCTCTATGGTAGAAGAAAAGTGTCCCTTCTATTGTTTTCTCTCCCTGGGACATTTTCTGATTTCCCTGCCTGCTGTGCAGAGTGACGTAGCCAGTCAGTCCTGGGAAGTGGGGAAGGAATGCAGGAGAGGAGTGCACAGATCAGGGTACTTCTCTGGGAAGACAGGAACAGAATAGAGGGAAGGGAGGGTAGGAGAATTGGCAAAGCAGTGTCAGGACAGCCAAGTGGACTCTGCCTTCCCTTTAACTAACTTTGGTTTCACCTTTCACCCTCCACCCAGTCCTCAAGTCCCACCAGTGAAATGATGGAGGGGGGAGGGGGGAGGGGGAAGAAGCTGGCGGGCCCCAGTGGAAATGAAAACTTTGGAGAGCAGAATTAGAAGAGGCTGCAAAGCCCCACACTGACCAATCTACCCTCTGGCCTTCTCAGAACTGCAACGGGCAGAGAGCCTCCAAGAGAAGAGTGTGAAGGAAGCAAAGACCAAATGCAGGACCATTGCATCCCTTCTAACTGCAGCCCCAAACCCCCACTCCAAGGGGGTGCTTATGTTTAAGAAACGGCGGCAGAGAGCTAAGAAGTACACCCTAGTGAGCTTCGGGGCTGCAACTGGAACAGGCACCGAGGAGGAGGACGGAGTTCCCCCAACAAGTGAGTCTGAGCTGGACGAAGAGGCCTTCTCCGACGCGCGCAGCCTCACCAATCAGTCTGATTGGGACAGCCCCTATCTGGACATGGAGCTGGCCAGGGTGGGCTCGGGCACAAAAGAGAGCCAGGGCGGACAGCTCAGCGAGGTCTCCGGGAGAGGGGTCCAGCTCTTTGAACAACAGCGCCAGCGCGCAGCCTCCAGCACTCACGAGTCGGCTCCGGTGGACCAGGTAGAGGTGCTTAATGGTCAAGGTCTGCAATCGCCACCCCGGGCCCAAAGTGCTCCCCCGGAGGCAGCTGTGCTCCCACCCAGTCCTTTGCCAGCCCCTCTAACCAGCCCCAGGCCCTTCCTCTCAGGTAGTGGTGCCCCTTCCCCAGCTCCGAGCGTCTTTAACAGGTCAGCTAGGCCCTTCACCCCGGGCGTACAAGGGCAGCGGCCAGGCACCACCTCAGTGATTTTCAGACCACTAGCCCCCAAGAGGGCGAACGAGAACCTGGGGGGCCTCAGCCCGGTCCCAGCCCACTTCGCGTCCTCTCCTCAGGAGCCCACGCCTCTTCTGAGTTTCACCACTGGGGCTTCCAGCCATGTGCTCTCTGCTGGCTCCCCCAGCACCCCACGGTCCTCAGGCCCTGCTACGGCCACCAGCTCCCTGTTTATCCCAGCCCCGAGTCGGCCCGTTACACCGGGCGGAGCCCCTGAGCCCTCCGCTCCTCCAAGTGCAGCTGCCATGACCTCCACAGCCTCTATCTTTCTCTCGTCGCCCCTGCGACCCGCTGCGCGCCCGGAGGCGCCCACACTAGGTCCGGCGGCCCCCAGTCCCCCTAGCGCTCGCGAGCAGCGAATCTCCGTGCCGGCTGCACGCACTGGCATCCTGCAGGAGGCCCGGCGCCGCGGGACCAGGAAGCAGATGTTCCGCCAGGGGAAGGAGGAGCCCAAGAACTCGCCCAACCCCGAGTTGCTGTCGCTGGTGCAGAACCTAGATGAAAAACCCAGAGCCGGCGTTACCGAATCTGGTCCAGAGGAGGACGCTTTAAGCCTCGGAGCTGAAGCCTGCAATTTCATGCAGCCACCAGGGGGCAGGAGTTACAAGACGCTGCCTCACGCGACACCTAAAACCCCGCCTCCCGTGGCTCCTAAGACCCCGCCCCCTATGGCTCCTAAGACTCCACCTCCAGTGGCTCCTAAACCAGCATCCCGAGGGCTCCTTGATGGGCTAGTGAATGGGGCGACCACTTCTCCTGGAATCTCTGAGCCGCCAAGGCTGCAGGGCAGGGGTGGGGAGCTGTTTGCCAAGCGGCAGAGCCGTGCGGACAGGTATGTGGTGGAAACTACACCAGGTCCTGGCCCTCGGCCCAGAAGTCCTTCTCCTACCCCCTCATTGCCCCCTTCCTGGAAATATTCACCAAACATCCGAGCCCCACCTCCAATTGCTTATAACCCACTACTCTCACCCTTTTTCCCCCAGGCTGCCCGAACTCTCCCTAACAAGGCCCAATCCCAGGGACCTCGGGCAGCCCCCAAGCAGGGCATCAAGGCTCTGGATTTCATGCGACATCAACCTTACCAACTCAAAACTGCCATGTTCTGTTTTGATGAGGTTCCTCCAACTCCTGGCCCCACCTCCTCAGGGCCCCCCAAAACTGCCAAAGTCCAAGAGATCCGCCGATTTTCCACTCCAGTGCCGCAGCCCACGGCAGAGCCCCTAGCTCCCACTGTGCTTGTCCCCCGAGCAGCCACTTCACTGGATGAACCCATCTGGAGGGCAGAACTGGCCTCGGCCCCTGTCTCCAGCCCAGCCCTTCCTCAAGAGTCTCCCAGAGGCTTTGGGGCCACCCCCACCTCCTGTGGTTTCCAAGTAGCCAGACCCCGATTCTCAGCCACCAGAACAGGGTTGCAGGCTCATGTGTGGAAGCCTGGGGCAGGGCACCGATGAGCAAGGAATAGGTCCCAGGACCAAGGAGAAGTGGAACATCTGGTCTCCAAAGCTGCTTCTCCAGCCCTTACCCTACCCTGTCTCTCCCAGGCATCTGGAAGCTAACGTTCCTCCTGCCAGAGATAGTTTTGAAGTTATGTCTCATCTCCTTGTCACTCCCCACCTCCCTGCTGCTTTCCAACCTATTATGCCTACTTTGGTATTTCCTTCTGACTACATTTCCTGGCCTCTTTACCTGTATGCCTCTGCAAGTCTCTTTACAATTATGCTTTTCTCTGTGAGCCTCATTTTAATGTTCAGTGAGAAGCACACAGAGTAAAAGTAACCACTGGGATCTTAGGCTAGAAGCTCACTACCAGGAAGGCTAAAAAGAGATGGAACTGATCCCTGTTTACACTAACCTTCTCCCTACCGTTCACTCTGCTTTCCCAGGATCACCTGGCTTATACCTGCAGTGTGTGTGCCTAGGATGTGTATGTGTGTGTGCAAGTATCAGCAAATGTGTGTGATCAGGATCTGATCTGGAAAGTAATCATATGTGCTCCTCTGTCTGAGGCAAGATGTATAAATAAAGACCACATCTGAGTCTTAATTTTACAATGGTAGAAGGGTTAGACATCCCCACAGGGAATGTAGGAGGAGAAAGAGCTTCCCTGGAGAACACCTCCTCAGAGAGCAGTGTCTAGCTGGTGCACAGCATCCTGGGAAATTTATGGCACAAGACGAGACTTAAGGACTGGGATAGTTTACATGAGTTACACCAACTATACCAGCAAAAGAACTAAGAATTATTTAAATCTGGGTCGGGGATTTAGCTCAGTCATTCCACCTCCTGCCTCAAAAGTGCAAGGACCTGAGTTCAATCCCCAGTACCAAAAATAAAACAAACAAATAAATAAATAATCCTCTGGATTTCAGAAAATTAGCAGAGCTTTGTGCTGAGAAATCCAATATCAAGGATGTCAGAAAAAAAGAAAAGAAAATTACTTGTGGAAAATGAATAAATTATTGGCTTCATTTGCCTAATAATAAATTAGTGGCTTCATTCTGCCTAAGAAAAGAGAAGAAAGAAAGCCAGGGTGGGGAGAGTGAAACAGAAAGCTGGAGTGGAGCAGAAATGGTTGAAAGTGACAGAGCATGGTGAGGGAGAGGGCAGGGTTGGCAGAGTAAAGTTGGTCAGCCAAAAAACAACTATGTGAGGAGGGGATTGGGGGCAAAAAAATCTGAGGGACAAGAACGTATTTGTCAGAGTTAAGGGGGACGGTGGGATGGGGGAGCGTGAGGGTGTGTGCTGAGTGTAGAAAGAAGAGTTAGTGTCTGTGCTACTTCCTGTGAGCCCATCCTTCTGTTTGTCTTCTGCAGCTTGTCCTGGCTATGTGGGAAAGGCCAGGGAAGCATCCAGAGCCAAAACCTTTCCAGTCCTACCCCATGCCTCAAAACCCTAGCTCTTGTTCCTTTTCAGCTTCAGGTCCTGGTTTCTGATTCTAGAAGGGGATGGACTCCCTTTTCACCAAGACCATCACCAGCCATGTTTGCTGTTTGATCTGGAAAGTGATCCTTTCCTTTGCATTTTGGGTGTGAGTTACAGTTCTTTGGTTTGTACACAAGAATAAACTTATGCCCCATATCTTTTGTTGCTGTCATCTATTCTGGTTTTATACCCAATCCTGATCTCTCCTTGATCTTCTCTAACTCATTACCCTGATCTCATTCCCGATCTCAGTCTCTGTCCCCCCCCCGATTTTCCACCCTTGCCCTTCGTCATCAATTATTTCGCCATTCTCTGCCAATTTCATCCTGCTTCAATTTTGATACCTCCAGTCCTCCTCCTAGTTTTGTCTCCCAGGAGTCTCCATCCTGTCTCCCCCTCTCCCTTCGCTGCTCCTTACTTTCCAGAGAAGGCTCAGTTTACAGAACTGAGCGAAGTTGAAAGGCCCTCTAATTCCTTTGCCATCAATACTTCCTAGTCCCTGGAGGAAACCACCTTGTTAAACATTCTTTGAGAATTAAATGAATAGAAAGCAATGACTGGAGATGAAAGTTGGAATAGGAGATGGAATAAAGGTGGAAGCCAGGCAGGGTGGCTGGGTGACACGTCTGTAATCCCAGTGTTTTGGAGACAGAGGCAGGAGGATCAGTTTGAGGCCAGCCTGGGCCTAGCAAGTTCAAGGCTGGCCTGCACTACATAGTGAGACCCTTTCTCAATAAACTCAAAAAAAGAAAGGAAGGAAGGAAAGAAGAGAAAGAAAAGAAAAAAAGAAAGGCAGATTGAAACTAATAATTTGTGACTTGTGTCTGCACCCAGGCAGCAAAAGAGGACTAAAAGGCAGATCTAAATGTTCACCTGTTGTTCCTAGACCTGCCAGAGTTGAAGAGGAAGAAAAAGGGAGGTAGAATAACTGGTTAGTCCAGCTAGAATTAAAATTAGATTTTTTTGTTTGTTTGTTTTTTTGTGCCAGTGATTGAACTTGGGTCCTTGTGCTTTGGAGGCAGGCAGCAGCACCACTGAGCTAACTCCCTGGCTGGAACTAGATTTATTTTTCTTTTTTTGGTGGCAGGGGTTTGAGACAGAGTTTCACTATGTAGTTGAGACTGACCTGGAACTCACTATGTAGCTCAGGCTGGTCTCAAACTCACAGCAATCCTCCTGCCTCAGCCTCCTCCTAAATGCTGGGATTTCAGGCATGCACCACCACACCCGGTTTTGGAATTAGATTTCTGAGAAAGAATTTGCCATTGCTCCACTTTTGCCAGCAGAGGGCAGATTTGTGCCAATAACCACATGCTCCCAAGTACACAGTATCAGAATTTTAAAGGAAGGCCCCAGAGACCATAGGCTAAAATAGCCTGTCTTTACCCAATTTTAGCTCAGTAATTGGAGATCACACTTTGAGTTTTTCTGTTTCTGTTTTGTTTGCAGCAGTGGTAGTGGTGGATTTTTCCTAGCCTGAGCCTGAAAAGTCTAAAATGGGAGAAGGGCATGGTCAGGAACAGTGGAGAGCTCACGGAGGGTATATTTGGGAAACTTCAGGAGCCATTTTGGAGGCAGCTGCAATTGGGTAGTAAATGAAGACTGGTAGCAGAGTTGGCCAGAGTTGACCAGGAAAGAAAAGGAAGGTAGAATAACTGGTCAAGTCTTCCCTGACACCACCTCTCATCACACTAAATTTGGTTAATTTGTCCTTTATCCTGCCAAGATTTGGCCCTTCCAGAGAGAACAATCCATCAGGAACTTTAAAAGAGCAGCTCCAGGGCCAGGGATTTAGCTCAGTGGTTCTGCTACCTGCCTCACAAACTCAAGGTCCCGAGTTTGATCTCTGGTACAAAAAAAAAAAAAAAAAAAAAAAAGCAGCTCCATGTGAACACTTCATACTCAAACATAGAGCCTTAATCCCTCCACCCCCAAATACACCCGCAAGTTCCTCCAGCTCCAGCCCCTGATGGGCCGTGAGTGGTCCTTAGGTCATGTTCTCTGGCTTCTCTCTCCCACTCTGAATTCCTACACCACTTGCTGCCTGTTTCCTTTCTCCCTATGTCTTCAATTTTCTCAGACTCTAGGTGCACAGGGAAGAGGAGCTGGGGGCAGGCTGATCCTTGGCTCAGATGACTCGGGGAGAATCCTAAAGGCCTTTCTCCCTTCCTGAGCCTCTGGGCAAGGAGGGCGGGATCTTGGTTCCAGGGTCTCGGTACCCCCTTTGCCATTTGAGCTGCTTGTGCTCATCATCTCTATTAATAACTGCTCCCTCCCTCACTGCCAGTGCTGCCCCCACGCCTGCCCAGCTCAGGTTCTCCGGTCACAGCAGCTCAGTCCTCCAAAGCTGCTGGACCCCAGGGAGAACTGACCACCGACTGAGCAGCCGGTAAGTGTGCAATACTATGGCTCAGGGGCCAGAGTCCATGCTGGTGACTTGTGTCTGCAACTGTGATTCTTGATCCTGGGAGAGTAGACCCCCCCCATCTATACCTAGCTTCCAGCTGTCCAGGCCAGGGGAGCCACAGAAAGGGGCAGGAGAGGCTCAGACAGTTGGAGAAATGGAGATGTTAGGGGAGGTGCCTGACAGATGGGAAGGGAGTCTGAGACCCCAGAAGAGTTGCAGATGTTTTCGCAAGGCAGAACTCAGTAGGAGACAGCTGTCTCTATGAGCCAACTTCTGTTAAGGAGGGGCCAGGGGCTGTATCTTTCCTCAGATTATCCCCATCCACAGTCAGATCTTATTACTATATTCCTGCCCTCATTCAATCCCCTTCCTCTATGATACTGCTGAACTGACACGAGTCAGGGCTCCAATGCCTCCTGGATCACCTCTTTACTCTAGCTCTGGGGTCTGGAATGGAAGTGACTAAAGGAGCAGGGAGTGTGGCTGTGACCTCCCAGGCCACCTTCCAGCTGGCCCAATGGAGGAGCAACAACCTCTCATTCCTATGGAAAATGTTTTTGGCTGAGTCTCTCAACCTGGCAGGACATTTCTCTACCCCCATGGGCCATGAGGGCAGATTGAGGAGAGACCAGAGCCTCATAGTTCCAGTCTGATATCCCAGCACAAATAAAAACTTCAAATCCCGCAAGCCCATGAAACCTGGATGCATTGTTCTGGATGTGAGGTTGTTATCACTTCCAGCTATGGTCCTAATCCCCCGCTTTTTTTTTTTTTGGTACCGGGATCGAACTCGGGTCCTTGTGAGGCAGGTGCCAGAACCACTGAGCTAAAGCCCCAGCCTTATGGTCCTAATTCCTATACAGACTGTGTAAAGTAGCCCACAAGAGGCTGGTAGAAGGTAGGAACAGGGGATGCAGCTATTTTTCCTGCTTTTCAGGAAAGAAGAAAGAACAGAAGCCCTAAATCAGCAGGCTTTTCACCTTTTGAGGAAATGCACATTTCTTTGAAAATCTGATGAAATTACATCTTTTGAAGCCCTTAACCTTGGGTTAAGGAGCATTGTCCTACTGCAACCAGGTGTGGTAGTGCATTCCTGTAATCCCAGGAAGAGAATCACTATAAGTTCGAGACAAATTTGGGCTACATTGTGAATCCAGGCCCGGCTTGACATAGCAAGTCCTTTCACAAAAAAAAAAAAAAAAAAAAAAAAAAAAAAGGTTGGGCATGATGGTGCATGCCTATAATTCTAGCACTCTGGAGGCTGAGGCAGGAGGATTGCCTGAGTTCATAGCCAGGCTGGGCTAAAAAATGAGATCAAAGCAAGATTGGAATATATAACAAGACCCTGTCTCAAGTATAATAATAATAGGGCCTAGGATTTAGCTCAGTGGTTCTGCCACCTGCCTCGCAAGTGCAAGGACCAGAGTTTGATCCCCGGTACCCCCCCAAAAAATTAATAATAATAAACAAAATTGTCCTACGGCATAACTCTTCCCAGTCTCTGTCCATTGTCAATCCTCCTTGCCACCTTGCTGCCCCATGTAGGCTGAATCTACCTCCACAATGCCGCTCTCAGGAACCCCGGCCCCCAATAAGAAGAGGAAATCCAGCAAGCTGATCATGGAACTCACTGGAGGTAGGGCATGTTTGTAACTACCTCACATGGGACTTTGTATCGAGAGCAGCCCTGACCCAAGAGTCTCAAAAATAATACTATATGTTTTAGGGTAAACAAATGAGGAATTCCAGTGGCAGAGGGTCAGGGGTTGGGAGTGAGAGGGAGAGGAAGGATGGCAGGAAGAAAGGCAGAAGGGATTCGACACTGTCTCCTCATCCTTCTACCCTTTTCTCCTCAATATTTGAGACAAGATCCTGCTGTATTACCCAGCAAGGGTCCAGGACCGCAAGATGCAGTCAGTGAGGTATGTTTGAGGAACACTGGTGCAGACTAAGGTCTCAGAATATGTTTAATTTCCTTATTTCTTTCCCTAGAGCTTGGGAACTGGATAAGCACTTAACATGGGAGATTGCACATGTGTGTTTCCAGGGTTAAACACAAGGGCACACATGTAGCAAGCTCTCCCAATACCTAGAGGCTTTTTGGAACCAGAGTTCCCTGAGCAGAAGAGGGAAAGGAGTTAAAACAGGAGCCTGTAGTTAGAGACAAGGAGCTTCACACAGGATTGGCCTATTGACTTTCTCCTGTGCCCCTGTTTCTCCAACGGCCCTCCCTCGATGATGTTCCTTTACACCTTTTGCCCTCGCCCTTTTGATGTTCACCTCTCACTGTAGTATCCCCACTTTCTCTGCCCTGCACCCCAGTCCCTATGCCTTCTCTTCAGGAAACCACAATCTCTCGTAAACAAGACAGACCTTTCTCAGACATCACAGGCACTATTTAGGTTCCCCTAAAAATCTCTACCAGAACACACAGTTGTGGGTGGGGGACTGCATTCTGAGCCCAGAAAACCCTCCTGTCCTCTTTCTCTTCCTCCATACCTCCCTGAAAGGTGGACAGGAGAGCTCGGCCCTGAACCTGGGGAAGAAGATCAGTGTCCCAAGGGATGTGATGTTGGAAGAGCTGTCACTGCTCACCAACCGGGGCTCCAAGATGTTCAAATTGCGGCAGATGCGGGTGGAGAAGTTTATCTATGAGAACCACCCTGATGTTTTTTCTGACAGCTCCATGGTGAGTTTGGAACTGAACCATTCTCTCAAAGCCTAGTGACTTTTCTGATAGCTTTTTAGTGGGCCTTCAACTTCCAAAATACATCATCCTCTCCCTGAAAATTTACAAACTCACTAAACCTCAAGATTTATTGAGGCCCTGACAGATCTAGGTTGAGGTACAGCGTATCTCTGAAACTCAGTCTCCAGCTTAGAGCTAGTGAAGGGGTAGGTTTTGAGTATGGGTAAGTGTTAAAACAGGGCTGCCAGATAAAACACAAAACACTCAGTCCTGAATTTTGAAGTAATGATACACAATGAATAATTTTTTTAGTAAAAAAACATTTTTGCAATATTTGGGACATAAAAATAAAATAAGTTGGGGGCTGGGGATTTAGCTCAGTGGTTCCGCCACCTATTTTGCAAGTGCAAGGTCTGGAGTTGAATCCCTGGTACTAAAATATAAATAAATAAAATAAAATAAGTCGGGTCAGGGGTTTAGCTCAGTGGCACTTTACCTGTCTCACAAGTGCAAGGTCCTGAGTTCGATCCATAGTACTGAAAAAAAAAAAGTTAAAAAATAAAAAATACAGGATATGGGGGCTAGGGGTGTAGGGCACGTACTCAGTGTTTACGAGGCCGAGTTCAATCCTCAGTACCAAAAAATACCAACCAACCAAACAAACAAACAAAAAAACTAAATGAGATACTCAGTTAAATTTGACTTTCAGATTTATACAGTAAATACTTTTTTCCTATATGTATGTTTCCTGTGATATTTGGAACATGAAAACAAAAATACGCGATGCCCACTGCAAATTGAATTTCATTTGCACAATGAATAATTTCTGAGTACTATCATGACTTATGCAATTATTTAGGACATATTTACACTAAAAAATTTATTTGTTATGCATTTGAACTTCAAATCTAACTTGTTGTCCTACAATTTTATTTGGTAAGCTAACAATCCTAAATTGGTTTTCTTTTGTTTTGTTTTTTGAGACAAAGTCTCACCATGTAGTTGAGACTGACCTGGAATTCACTATGTAGCCCAGGCTGCTCTCAAACTCGCAGCGATCTTCCTGCGTCAGCCTCCTGAGTGCCGGGATTACAGGCGTGCGCCACCACGCCTGGCACAATCCTGAACTGGGTATAGTTGCACATGTGTATAATCCCAGCATCTCAGGAGGCTAAGGCTGGAGAGTGGCAAATTTGAGGCCAGCCTGGGCAACTAAGTAAGATCAGGTCTCAAAATAAAATAGAAAGGGGTGAGGATATAGCTCAGTGATAGAGTGCTTGCCCAGCATGTGCAAGGTCTTCGGTCAATCCCAAGTACTGCAAAAACAAAAGAAAAAAACAAAACAAACCTGGCAACCCTAGAGTTGTTTTTATAGCCATATCCTTCCTTCTTTAGTCATTCTTTTACTTAAAAGGGTCAGTCTCTTCCCTAAGGGTCCCAGATGTGGCAGCTGAAATCATCCTTCTTCAGAACCAACAATTTCTAGTTAGCCTCCCTTTCAACGAAAGAGAAGGAGGGATTGGAGAGGATCCCGGCACAGGATGTTATAGCTGAGGAGGAGGAGGAGGAGGCCATCTCCATTTCCTTTCTTCCTTCTCCACCTCCTGCTGTTTGGCTCAGGGAGAGAGAAAATCGATGCCTGTGGGGATGGGGCCAGGACAGGAGCGTCTGTCACTGACCCTTATGTAGGAGCAGAGTTAAAGTGCTAAGCTGGTCATATCTAACTTTAGGAGGCTGAAAGCTCTTCTGCCTGCTGGGTCTGGTTACACTGGGTGGAGCATAGAGGTATACACGGTAAGGTGGCCAGGAGAGCCTCCGCAAGGAGTTGGGGGGGTTATTTTTAGGCTTTACAGCTGAGTTCAGTGTTGCCCTTTTGCCTTTCCCTCCCCCACCAATGCCATCTGCTACAGTTTCACTCTCAGGACATCCAATAGACACCAAGAGAAAAGAAAAGAGACTTTTCTGACTGTTGGACAAGCTGAGGAAGGGTAGTTCTTCAAATTAAGACTGGGTTATTCTTGGCAACTCCACCCTCCCAAAGTCTAGTTGTGCAGAAGTCTTGATCTTCTTTGCGTTAGTAAGGATGGGAAAAAGCCAGGTGTGGTGGCGCATGCCTATAATCCCAGCACTCAGGAGGCTGAGGCAGGAGGATCGCTGTGAGTTACAGACCAGCCTGGGTTACATAGTGAGTTCCAGGTCAGTCTCAA